CACATCTTGCTGAACATCGTGCATTAAATTACGTTGTACTTTATGGAAATATTTCAATAAAAGAATAAACTTTAAACGCATTATGCATAAAAATTAAATTTGACTTCAGCAGGTTTCTGCAGTATACTGCTGATTCTTTAGCCACTAGCAACAGTAACTGCTGACTTTTTTAACACTGTTTTAATCTTCGAATACGATTGAATTAAACTATATTCATAAATTATTTTTAAAAGATCTAAGCTTATAGTTGCCCTACTCTCTAAAATAATTAAAATAACTAGATTAAGGTTATTGAAATAGCTAGATTTTTATAGCTAGATATTTCTGACTGAGTTTCTGCAGCATTTATATCATTGTAATATTTAAGTGCAAAGCTGTTGCCATTATGTTAACTAAATCCGATACATTAATTTTTCATCAGTTAGAAATTGAAAATCAGAAGAAAATTCATTTGGTTTTTCATATCTTTATTTCAGTTCTTAGAATTAAACATTTAACATTTCATTAATTTTTACAATGAACAAATATTGTTCCAAAAATTCAGTTTCTTTATCAAGTGACTCTTCATAGAATGATATATTAACCTTTCTCATTTCTGTTCAAATTCAGTTCATATGTTTATCTGTAAAGCTAAACATATTTACATGTCTTAAGAATACTTTCAGGAAAATTTTAAAGAACGACATAATCCCTTTAAAATGCGAGAGCCTTTATAGATAATTATCGTTTTTAATTGCAAAACTTTATTTATTTTTTCTGTTTCTTGTAATATTAAGTTACATGAAGATAGCAAAAAAATTCCAAATTGCTTTATTTCAAAACTCTATTATTTTCATCCTTTATCATTTAATGCCTACCTTTCAATAACCGATGTACTTATCTTATTTGTAGCTGAAGTTCTTTAACTAGAGTTTGTTTGTCTATTACGCATGTTACAAACAGGAATACTGAGATGAGAGATAAGAATAATCAATTTAACAGTGACTGACAGGCAACGCTGGTATATAGCTCTTTTTGCACAAAGTTGTTTGCCACATACTGCCCTGTATCAACAAATATCTCATACTTTAATAGGAGCTATGTTTTTTTTTTATGAAAAATTTGAAATAACTTGCAGCCACAGTTTTTAAAAACCTATAGCAATTCTTAATTTACGTTTATAATCCTAGGTATATAGTAACGCTGGCGTGGCCATGATGAACACTGACTTGAACGTAATTTTTATGTTAAAAATTTTCGATCTTTCTAAACTTATTCTAATGTATTTCCATCGTTGGTTTGAATTCCGTTATGTGCAATGAATTTGCAATGAACATTTCTTTATTTTTCTTTTCTTCACCTTTAGAATGCATCAACCAACCGTCTTTTTTCAATATGTTGAGCAAAACTTCACTCGTTGGTTTTTAAAACACATTCTTGTTAATGAAAATTCTTCTTAGCGACTATTAAATGGTAAGTTCTAATAAAATGGTAAGTTTAAATGGTGGGTTTCTGTTAATGTTCGTAACTACAAGTGTCTGCATGGCTAAAATTGACAACTTATCCTGGTATTCATGGAGAACAGGTTGGCTGCTTACGGCCAGTGAGTTGGTTTCATGTGTAATTTGAATAGGAGACAGTTCCGTTAGTATATCAGAGAATCCCCTTTCTAAAGCAGAGTAGGTTAGTAAACGAATTAGACTTTAATATTCGCCCATGTTTTGTCAGTCAAATAATTTTCTATTGAAAACGGCTTATTTGAGCTTGAGTATAGAACTTTACATACAGTTAACTCTAATGTACGTGGCTTACAGACTGACTATCTGATAATATTTGTATAGGTTATCGTATTCTTCAATACCTTTATAACATGAGCACAATTTTAAAATTACTAAGATTTAATTATGCTTTATTTTATTTATTTATTATTTGCTTTCATTACGCCTCATGAGCTAGCTTATTCTCAAGATGTTTGTGACTATGCCATCCCTGGTCTGATTTTGATATTTTAATTTTAGTTTTTTAAATCTTTAAATCAATAGTTTTATTGCTTTTATTTGTTTCTTTTCTTTATGTTTCTATCTTTCCGAAACTATTCTTAAAATTTCTTTGGCAGGAAACGTGACTTGAAAATATATTTTTGTATATTAGTTGCCTTAGCATCAAAGGAACGGATTTACTTAAAACATTTTCTTTTATATCATATTCAATTATATTTTAACTGGGAGAATGGTTTGTCATAAATATTCCAATAAAATGGTTTGTTTTCAATATTCTAAGAAATATTCTTAACTTTAAATCTTTACTTTTTCTTTTAATTTCTATGGTGCTAAACAATTTATTATTTTTTCATTATAAAAAAAAGAAAAAAACGAAAAACAAAAAAGAAATCATATCTTACCTTGCATGTTTACATTCTAATCTTGACAAAGAAGGAGACAGATTAATGCGGCGGTTCATTTAATCTGTCCAGCAGTATGTGTAACTGTTCCAGATATAGTTATAAAATATAATTCAGACGCAAATTAAGTAAAGGTACAAAACAAAATCTCCAACAAATGAATATCATTCAATACCAAATTCTACACAAAACGTAAAGCAAAATGCTGATAATAGGATGAATTTCATTTTCAAATATCCTTAGTCTCCCTATGCTTTTGTAATAGGGTTTAATGAGTTATGTCTATTATAACGAACTGTAGATAATTGCGCTACCTTCCATACTTGGTTAGTGGACTTTGGAAAGCTTGTTACGGCGAAGTAAGAGCAATAATGTCTCTAAAAACTAAAAGGAGGTAATAGAGAATTACTAATATCGGCAGAAAAGCTTTTTAGAAAAGTTTAGAACATGCAGTTTGTTACACTAAGCGTATTTTAACTTAATATCTGTTAGTTCCAGCAACAAATTTTAATGTTGGAAACCAGTATAGTATTGTGAAATCTGAATCCTTTTGAAAATGAAATAGTGTTATTAATTCATAATTTAATTCAGCTAGATTGTTAAAAGTAACGGAATCCATGCGATAAATCATGTGTCAAAATAACCTGATTACGCTAAGGCGATGATGTGAATGAAGTAATTTATATTTAAATAAATTTTTGTTTATTGTATTCATACTACATTGCGTTAACATAAACTGAGAGGAGCTATCCAACCCCAGAAAACAGATACGAAAGAAGATTAAAGGAAATAAAATAGTCGGGCATAGCATAGAGAATAAAAACAATCATTTATGTAATACTTAAAATTATTATAAATAATCTTAGTAAAATTTTGTTCGTTTTAAATATGATATTTTAATACCTCTTGATATTTTAAGAGAATTAACTATTGGGGCATATCACAGAGAGAATAAAATCAATCAGAAACGTAATGCTATAGTTATGATAAAATGTTGTTGTTTTAAATATGATACTTTAATACATCTTGATAAGTTTCAAACTGTATGTTAGCAGTCATAATTTCTAGTTTAAAAGATATTTCTAAATTTTCATAGCTAATTAGCTTTTATACTCATCTCTAATTATTCATCTGAGGCAAATGACTCATTTGTTTTACTCTGTCACGACTTTGCTAGTCACTCACAGCAAACTTAGTGTACTACAAGGTTTGCTCTTCCCGACCAGAAATCTTTGAGAGTATGACATCACTGACTCAGAAGTCTGTTCAAAAGCAACTATTTTCTATTCCGTGTGTATCTGTTTTCTCCCTTTTCGATAAGTGACGTTATTAAACTCAATCGTTGTTCCAACGATTTGTTTGTTTGTCGGCTGACCTTAACTCACTATATATTAGGAAGATTTATGCAATCTGAGTCACTTCAGCAGGAGAGTGTGTTCTGCCTTTTGGACACATTATTGATGCTAGCCTAAGCATACTGTTTTCTTGCCATACTGTTACGTGCCAACTAGTATACACAGGTGATTTTAAATGACCGCCAACTCTTTCAGTTGATTCTGTGCAGCTTCGGCTGATTAATGTTTTTTAGTATTAGATTAGTTTATATTTTCCATCTTGAGTTAAAGCCCAAATGGAAGCTTATTCTAAGCCCGAGGAGGGGCTACTTATTTATCCATTTTGAGTTAGAATATAAGGTAATTTAATCCTTCTTTGGACTTATTACTTACAAGAATACAGCGAATAATCCGTACACAGTTCTTCAATATTCTAGCTTTCAAAGAAAAACTAATTAAGCTAGAATATTACAAATGAATTGGTAAATGTATGCTAAAACTTCTGTTTAAGCATCAAGAATTTTCAGAATTATAAGCCACGTTTCATCGAGAGAAAACATTAGAACTAAAAATAAAAAATTGAGTAAGCACATTAGAAAATTCTATATGAGAATTTCATAAATATTCAACCTCATCATGTCATTAAAATGTATTTTATGTGGAAAATATTTCAATAAAATAAGTAAACTTTAAAGGTATTACAGAGTAACTATAAGATTTAAATTTGGCTTTATTAAATTACATTTCTGCATTCTACTGACCGTTATTTTTGAAGTAAATAATTTATTGTCATTTGTGTTACTTCGCAACGAAAGCGAAAACTTTTGATCATAAACAAAGCTATGAATAAGAAATAAGGAGTTCTTAAAACACATTTGAAAACTGTGTGTAAGAACCTGCACAAGTCTGAAAAACGTCCGAAAATCAAACTCAGAATTTGAAGGAATTTTTAAATGGTATGTAGATTTAAAACTAACTATCTAAAATAAATAATTAAATACGAATTTTTATTGTTAGCCAAATTCATTCAAAGATGATTCCTTTTATGATTAAAATTATAATTTCTTCATTCTTATCATAAACTTCGAACGTAATTGATACTTCTTTAATGCCATCTTAATATATGCTTTTCTGAAGAAGTAGTTTTTTCCCATCTCGTATGATGACAAATTAGATAGCAAACTATAGAAATATATAATGCATCCATTTTTTGAATTCCTTTTTAACCTATATTCCGGGGGTAGGAGAAGAATTCTAAAGAACAATTGAAAAAAAAATGCACTTACAAGGAAAGAGGATTTCTCCTCGCTAGCCCGGATGTTCTTTTTGACGAGACTTCGACATTCTGTATTTCTTCGTGTCTCTGACCTGAAAATTTAAAAATAACAAATTTTATTAAATGTGTTCATGCATCTTAATATCCTAGAAATTATCATCATAAAACTAATCACAGGTCGGAAATGATCAAAGCCAATTTAATACATAATATAAATGTAATAATATTCTTAACGCGTCACTCATTATTCTTTTTTACAGAGCCAAAATTCATCTCAGCCAATTTAATATATAATATAAATGTGATAATATTCCTACCATGGAATACGCGTCACTCATTAAGCCGATGTATCAAGAATAGGTTATTTTATTAGCATTCGAGCTCATTACTTTAGTTAATTGTTTTAATGGTTTTAGAAATAATAACAAATATATTTGAGTTAAACTCTATCATGGTTCATGTCCCAATGTTCTCTCAGGCAAGAACATTATGCAAAATTATGCAGTTGTATTTCATATCTATAGGTGATAATCTCAAGCCACATTTATGCATTCAGCATACCTCAATTTCATCCTGCTTCCGTTAAGGACTTCCGTTAAGGACTTCCGTTAAGGCTAATAGTTGTGCCAGTAGTAAGAATTTTGTGAATTTAGAAATAGTGTAACCGACCATATACTTAGCTTAGAGCTTTGTTTGTTATAAATTAAAATCGAAGCTCTTCTGTCTAAAATATGCTAATGCCCTCTAATAGCCTAATTTAGTCACTGAAAGTTTCACGCAAGTAATAGGATGTTTCCATGAATTTTTTTAATATTTGCATTTCACATCTATAAGTGATTGATTTAGGGCCATATTTAAATTCATTTATGAATTCAGAACACGGCTAACTTTTTTTAGCATTTTTTGTATTTTTTCCTAAACAATTCATTTGAGAATTCTGAAAATTGTTGCAAATTTTTAAACCTTTTTAAACAGTGAATGAAGGAAGTGAACTAGCATTCAAAAAACTAACTTTATTTGTAAGAAGTTCTTAGTTATAAAAATGCAAAATATAGTAATAGTAAACAATGTAAAAATTTAGAGACATTTCATATTTACAAAAAAAAAATTTTTAAAGGACGATTTTGGGTAGAATCCGGATTTGTCCGCCGATCTGTATTTGTGAGTATTGCTTTTCGCTTCCTTCGTGATCAGTTTCAAGAGTTTCTGAAAATCGATTTAGAGAAGGAGATGCAGCTCCCTATGAAACTGCATATTTCAAATATGTATTGTGGCATTTACTTATAAATATATGTTTTTAGAATATCCATGATAAAAGGCAACCAAAAATTCGATTAATCAGGAACTTCATAAAATCATTACTTTACTTGTATTTCGAAAAAAGGAAAGAAATCTCTTTCACATATATTGGATTCGTTTTCGTTAACAATATCATTCTCACATGAGAAAATAGATGGTTAAAGGAGAGAAGCGTAATTACGAATGCGAGTAATGAAAGCAAAACGCACGTCTACGCATTCGTGACAATTGTCTGCAGTAGTTTAACATACAATTCAAAAATCATTTTTTAACTGCATGTATGTATGTGGCAAACATACAGGTTTGAATTTATCATCAAGAAAGCCACCCGGATGTTTGATAATGGAAAAGGATTGAACTGGTTTATAGAGAAATTCAGTGCTTGTGACTAAGTGACATGAATGCTTGTGATCAAGAATGTCTCGTCGATCAGTGTTTTCATCACATGATTTCCCACTTCATTTTCTCCTTCTGCACTCTCGGTGAGTTTGTTTGATAGCAATGCTGTTAACAGCTGAAAATTTAATACATGTGCAGGTAGTGAGCTTTCTCTCTTGTTCTAACAACTATGATTAAGCATTTTATTTTAATTTCTGATTAACCTACTTTTCGATCAGACTTAACTCCAATTTAGCTTTCAATCAATGGAATTCCCGATTTAAGAAATCCTAAGAATAAATAAATAAATAAATAAAAATTAAATTAAAAGAAAAACTATATTAATGATTACTAAATATCGGTCTGTAGAATGACCAGGTAGACGAACTTTAAAGTAGTTTAAACACGGTTCTTTGAAGTTTCAGTTTAACGATAGGAACTGGTCTTATTTTAGCTACAGTGGAAATAAAAACATACAGAAACATATTTTAATTAATTAAAATATTTTAATTTCTTTATTCAATATTTCTTTTGTTAGCATTATTTCTGAGGTTAATGATTTCCATAGAGAAAAATAAAATAAAATAAAATAACAATTTGAAAGGTGTGGTGTATTTAATTATGGCAAAGCACACTAGGGCTATCTGCCTAAGGGGAGGGATGCCTTTCGTGGAGGACTTTCTAAGGGAAACTGGCTCGTATACACGTTACACATGGGGAAAACCACGAAAACGCCCATGCAGCCAGCCCGTTCGCGGGATTCGAACCTCGGACCGAACTACCAGTGTTCAGCGACTTTACCGCTCGGCCGCTGGTGGGCAACAATCTGAAAGCCTACCGATTTTACATTACACCCGAATGGGTGTTTTTTTTTCATTTACACATACACACGTATAGACAGCATTTGCGATAACGCTCCTTTGAGCTAAACGCATTCAAAGACAGCATATCTTTAGAATTTCCGATAGACAGTCTCCCGTGCTTCTCCCAAAGGATAAAAATATTTTATTCCGTACAGTGTGTGGCCACTGCTCTCTTTGAAATAGTTGAGTTTCTTAATCAAAAATTCGTTAAATTAAATAAATAGGAAATAAATAATAAAACAAATTTGAAATTCAAGATTCGGGTTTTCAGGTGCCCATATTCGTGTGGAGAAGTACGTTATTCAAAATTTGATGGTATCATAGTGTTTTCACAATGCCAGAAACATATATATATTCATTCAGACTCTTCACTATTTAATTTCTTTAAGTATAATAAACAATAACATCTAGCGGCAACAATTTGAAAAGTGATACAGTCGCTTATAGTGATTCGACGCAAAATGTCATTTCGAGATTAATAGCCCTTCTGGACTAACGCCCCTTTAGACTTAAAAAAAAAAAAAAAAAAAAAAAAAAAAAAAACTGAAAGGTTTTAAATTTTAAATTGCGTCCAAAGGGGCGTTTTTTTAAAGGTCCGAAGGGGCGTCTTGTGTGTTACCTTTATTTATTAAATATCATGTTCTTTGAATTTAAACGATAAAATTCATTTCAACAAAATGTCGCAAAATAATTTTAAAATGAGCATATCTTTAGATGTCCTAACCATAGAACACCAGAATAATACGCGTGCTATTATTTCTTAAACTATCACATTGAATATGCAATAAATTACACTTTTTTATACTATATAAGGCGTATGAAGATAATAAAGAATCAAGGAGATTTCAGATTTTTAGTATTCGATAAGATAATTTCAAATTAGTATTTAATGAATCCATAGGTCTCTGAAATTTTTTTCTCCTTTAAAAGTGGCTTATTTAGTTAGACAATGAATGCCAAAATATTTTTGTTTGTTTCTCAGTTTTAATTAAAATAAATTAGCTTTATCTAACGAGAAGACTTGAAATTATATGTTCTTTTAAAAAATATTGAAAAAATACCCCGGAAATTGACAAACTTCTTTATGGAAAGGGCCAAATCATAAAGCTTTTAGGCTTAGCGGGCCAAGTCGCAAATTCGAAGATATTTAAATATATAATTCAAATAAGAGAGAGAGCGGGGAAAGGTGGTTCAAAATATTTTATTAGTAATATGGTATCTTTTACATAATATTTATACGCATTTTGCTGACTCTTGTAAGAAAAACGAATAAAATATTTCCGTTTACAAATAAGCGTGTTATAGATGAAGTTAATTGTTTAGTAATGCAATGAATGTAATTGTTTTCTTCTAATAGTTCAAGACACCGAATTTCGAAGTTAGTACTTTTTATCATTAATGTTGTGTGCAAATTATCATCTTTTAAATAATGATTTGCATTGTGATTTTACGTATTAAATTGCTGTAGCTATACTCTCATATTGATAAGTACCCCAAACATAGATATAAGCCCTCGTGCATGCGATTTTTACTGATCGTATTTATTTTCTGAAAACTACAAAAAGATTTAGGCTAGATCCATTTTTTAATATCATTTTTAGCATATCCACTTGCAATATCATCTTCAACTGCATCTTCCAGCTGAAGGTATGACAGTTGCACCGTCAAATAGATTTTTAAATATTGAAATGTCTTTTGTACTTGCATCGAGATTCGTGGGACGCTGTTGTAATAACGAGTATAGTTCAGAAAATATACCCGCTGTGAGTATTTTGGGAATGGAGATTTCACTAATATTTAAAATTTTCTACAACATAAGGAATGGTTAAACTTGTTTAGTGTGAATTTTGTTTTAAACACTGCAAATTTTCAACGATATTAATTTTACAATAGAATATATTTCACACATGAGTATAAATTTTCCCTGGAATTTTATCATGTTCAATTTAAGATATCTCACGATGCCTGAAACAAATGCTAATTTCACTGTTCGATTTCATTTTGCACTGTTCAATAATTGTGTTTGTGTGCTACTTTTCTTATTTAAAAATATTTCTATCATTTCTCTGAGTTTAAAAAAATCTCGCTGAGCTATGGAACTGCTGAGCTATGGAATTGCTGGTAGGGGAGTCGGGATATTCGATTTCGATCTCTAAGTAAAGCACGATTTATAGAATTAGCTTATATTCATTTTTTAAATACTTGCATATCATCTTCAGGTGCATCTTCCAACTGCAGGTTTGATAGAAGCTCCTCAATTGCATTGTCAAATGGATTTTTAAATATGTAACTGTCTTACCTCAAGATCTGAAACAACTCAAGAGCCAACGAAAATTACTTAAAATTTTATTGTCTTTTAACTGATTCTTGACCTAGCTCCCGATGTACTTAACTCTTCTGAGAGTTTCTGTATCTGAAGAACTGAGAAATCCATCTTCTTTAGGAACTTCTCTTCGATTGATACAAGAAAGCCTAATTTAATTAACTCAGTATCAATAAATGGCTTCCTTTCGGAGCTAATAAAAGAGCTATTCGTAATTTTGCTGTGTTGT